ATGTAATCTATGCAGAAATAGAAGTACAATGATGTACACCTGAAATTTTTACAATGTTATAAACCAATAAAAAAAAAAAAGATTTCAATTCTCCCCCAAATTGATCTATAAATTCAATACAATACCAACCAAGATACCAGCAGGCTTTTTTTTTTTTTAATTTATTTTTTTCCCCCAAAGCCCCAGTAGTTGTATGTTATAGCTGCACAACCTTCTAGTTGCTGTATGTGGGACACGGCCTCAGCATGGCTGGAGAAGCGGTGCATTGCTGCACGCCCGGGATCCAAACCCCGGCCGCCAGCAGCGCAGCGCGTGCACTTAACCGCTATGCCACGGGGCCGGCCCCCAGCAGGCTTTTTAAAAATTTTTTCCAGTAGAATTTGACAGACTGATTCTAAATTTCATATGGAAATGCAAAGGGAGAAAGCAGTGTAGATAAAGATAGTTTTTATGTAATGAGGGTTTGAGTGTGTCACTCCAGAGAAAGAAGCCTAAGAAGAAGAAAAGAGGGTAAAAAGATGCGACAGAAGTTGGGCATACCTCTACTGGGGCTTTGGGGGAAAAATAAACAAATAAAATTATTAAAAAAAAAAAAAAAAAAGAAGTTGGGCATACCTGAAAAAGAACAAGGTTGGAGAACTAAAACTACATGATTTCAAGAATTATTATACAGCCTCAGTAATCAAGACACTGTGGTATTGGTGTAAAGATAGACAAATAGACCAAAAGAATAGACTAGAGAGTCTATTAACTCATACGTATGTGGTCAATTGATTTTCAGTACAGGTCCAAATGCAATTCAATGGAGAAAGGATAGTCTTTTCAACAAATGGAGATAGAATAACTGTTAAGAAAAACAGAACCTCAATCCATATATGATATCATATACAAAGATTAAGACAAAATGGATCATAGACCTAAACATAAAATCTAAAAGTATAAAACTCCTGGAAGAATACATAGAAGAAAATGTTTGTGACTTTGGGTTAGGCAAAGTTTGCTTATAGTATACTACATCAAAAGCGTGATGCACAAAAGAAAAGGTTGATAAATTGGATTTAGGAGTTTTATTCTTTGCAAGACACTCATAGTAGAAGAAAAAGACAAGCCACAGAATGGGAAAAAATATTTGCAAATCACCTATCTGATAAAGCAGTTGCATTCAGAATACATAAGAATACTCAAAACCGAATAACAACACAGACCAGTCAATTTTTTAAATATGGGCAAAATATTTGAACTACCAAAGAAGACATACCGAGTGAAAATAAGCTCATGGAAAGTTGCTCAAAATTATTAGTCATTATGAAAGTGCAAATTAAAATCACAATGAGATACTATTATATACACTTTGGAATGGCTAAAATTACAAAGACTAACAACATCAAGTGTTGATAAAGATGTAAAGCAATTGAAAATCTCATATACTGCTTGTGGGAATATGAAATAGTATAACCACTTTCTTAAAGTTTGGTAGTTTAGAGGCCGACCCCATGGCTTAGCAGTTAAGTGCGCATGCTCCACTACTGGTGGCCCGGGTTCGGATCCCTGGCGCGCACTGACACACCGCTTCTCCGGCCATGCTGAGGCCGCGTCTCACATACAGCAACTA